CATTTCTGATCCAGGTTCCTGTTTATGGCCTGGGAAGTGGCAGAGGTTCCAGCCATTTTAACCATTTTGGGGAGTGAACCAGTAGCTGGAAGGATTCTCAGTCTCTTCCCTCTAACGTCACCCTTCAAATAAAAATAAGTATTTTAATAATGTTTAAATGTGGGCCCGGCGCGGTGGCGCAAGTGGTTAAAGGTCCTCGCCTTGCACGCCCGGGATCCCATATGGGTGCCGGTTCTAATCCCGGCAGCCCCGCTTCCCTTCCAGCTTCCTGCCTGTGGCCCGGGAAAGCAGTCGAGGACGGCCCAAAGCTTTGGGAACCTGCACCCGCGTGGGAGACCCTGAAGAGGCTCCTGGCTTCGGATCGGCATAGTATCGACCCGTTGCGCTCACTTGGGGAGTGAATCATCGGACGGAAGATCTTCCTCTCTGTCTCTCCTCTCTGTATATCTGCCTTTCCAATAAAAAAATAATAAAAATAAATCTTTAAAAAAAAATAATGTTTAAATGTGACTTAACATGTTGATTGTGCACTGATCTTTTTCCTTATGTGTATATTTCCCATCTAAAATTATTTGAGTATAAACAGTATTAACCCTAGAACCAGTGCCCAGATGCAATGCTGACACCAAAGGCAGCAGAATAGCATGCTATACCACAGCACTGGCCCCAAGAGTAATTGTTTTTTCATACTCATGGATATCCTTTGAATACTACTACAGGAAATTGTTCTGTGGGACCCAAATATGGTGGTAGCTTAATAGTCTCTGAAATACATAGGGATCCTCACGATTTAATATTGCTATGATAAAAATTAAGTGAAATAAGTTTTTCTCAGCAATTTTAAGAATTTAAACATGTGCTGCTGTGAAGAAACAGTTTATTATGGAAATTATACTGTATTACCAAAATGTTAAAATGCCATTTAACAAATTCAAAAGTTAGAAGACCCTGTAATAAATTTTTTCTAGAGCGAGACCAATATTAAATTGAAAAAGCTGGTAGTACTCATCATATTGGACTTAGCTATTACTACAATATTTTATTTGAAAAAGCAGAGAGAGGGAAACCCAGAGAGGGAGGGAGAGTAAGGTCCTACTTGCCAGTTCACTAACTGTCCTATGCTCCCCAAGATGTCCCCAATGATTAAAGTTAGGTCAAAGAAAAAGCTGGGAGCGTGGAACTCCATCACAGAAGGGAGTCTGAATTGGGAGCAGAACCAGCACTCAAACTCAGGCACTCCAGTTTAGGATGTCGGCAGCGCAGGTAGCATCTTAACCACTTCATCAATGCCCATCCAATATTTTCTATAGCACCCTTGACAAGTTTGATAGCAAATTTAATCAGTTTTAATGTCACTAAAGACTGAATATATAAATCTAAAATACTTGGGATCAGAAATGTTTTGGATTTTGTTTTTAGTTTCTGAAATATTTTCATATAAATGAGATAGCTTGGTAACAGGACCCAAGCCTAAACATGAAGTTCACTAATGTTTCATAAGTACCCTATACATATGGACTGAAGGTAATTGGACACATTATTTTTAGTCTACCTACCACACAATCGCAAATGGAACTTTCCACATGGAGCATCACATTAGCACTCAGAAAGTTTTAAGATTTTGGCATATTTTGGGTTTCAGATTTTCAAATTAGAGATGCTCAATAAGTAACATATTTAAAAAGCAACACTAGAAAAGTTAACACTAACTTTGTACACATTCATATTTTACTGCTCATATCAATGCATTTTTAAAGGATTAATATGTGATCCTGAAATCTGCTCATGTAAATTTCATAAGATTTGGTTTTAAATGAAAGCCTAGCCAAAAAAAAATTTTTTTTATTAAGATTTTTATTTTCCAAGCTTTTTTTTTTCAATTATATCATTTAAGCACTTTTTAAAAATTACTGAGTTTTATCAAAGAATTGCTAGCACCAATCTCCAACTGCAAAAAATATTCAGGTTAAAATGTATAATGAAGAATACTTTTCAGTATTATTTCCTAAACTCCTTAGGGCCTTATATGACACAGAACATTTTTTAAAAAAATAAGCAATTGAAGTGTAAAGACCAGAAGGAAAATAAATACCTAAATCAATATGTAATTGGAAATCAGTGCAGTAGAAGTATACCCCGACAGTAGAATCCCTCCGCTACGGGGAGGGAGGCGGCTCCTGGGAAAGGGTGATCTTCAGAGAGCATGCGGAAAGAGACAGGCATCAGGTGGAGCTCTTCCATGGAACCCTGTGAGGACACCTGAGTAGAGTCTTAGATGGTAAGTTGGCACAGCCAGGCAGACCAGGTTGAAAACATTTGTGTGCACACACAAGCGTGAGATAGCAAACTGGACTATGAGAGCCATAAGCAGAAATTCTGAGAACTTCAACCCTAGCATCATCCAAGGTCTTTCTGTGGCTTTTGTTCTCCTCACAAACGTTACCATTTCATGCTCCCTCCTCTCAGAATAGAGAGCAAGTAAACACCATCTGGAGGTTATTTCTTTATTAATTTCAACCAGCCAGAACATGGAAAGGAACCTGAAAACCAAAAATGATTACTACAAAATCTGTGGTGAAAGTAGAAGCTGATATTAAAAAAGACAAAAACTGCAAAACAACCTGGGAATACTTAGGTAGGGGCATTTAGTTCTTCACAGTTTAAAACTCCCTGTGAGACGATACGACAGAATAATACATTACCTGATAGGCAAAATAGTCACTAAGATAAAGATACCTCTTGTATAACTCGCTTATATAGATCAGAGGACTGTATAATGTAAACTTAGGGGGAAAATGTGTCCAATATTAACAGAAAAAGGATTCATATTAAATGAGAAACCCACCCATCACCTCTGAACCACCTCACTTCCCAATCACACCAGTTAGAGGAGATGTTCTTAAAGCACAAATAATAAAAATTCAGCAATACACAAACTCTTTGCATAGAAAATATCTAGGGTCGCAGATCATAAGAAAAGTCTATCTTATGATTTATAATTATCATATTTATCACTTATTAACTTCATTTTACGTGAAGGAATGACCGACCACATTACCTCACATGTCACAATGAACTACAGTGCATTAATCTGACTCTCACATTAGGTAGAAAATAAAGTTACTCCATGTAACTACTTCTTACACTGCCAGCAGCAATATATAGTATCAACCAAATATCTATCCTAGACTGAGACCAAAATATCAAGACATTAGAAGAACGCTTTATTAGTCAATCATGGATGATTATAAAGAACTAGATGTTATACAACATCAAATATTCTGGCCTCAAGTACTCGATGTTAGAATAACCAAACTCATATTTTAACCTTCCCATTTTAACTTAAATGCTGAAGCTTTTGCACTAAACATAGTATATAACATCTATTTTTATGGGCCTATAAATTTAATCTAGTCATCTAAGCTCACAACTTTTAAAATCACTGATTTACAATCCCTTTCCATGTGTAATCTGTACACTCATGCATTCTGAATGAAATTGTACTCAACTTTCCATTCATTTCTTCTGCAGAGTGCCTTCACCCAGCCTTATCTAAGTCTATTAAGACACTAACGTGCTAAAAGGTAGTAGTTGTTTGTGGGCATTTTTTTTCTTTTTAAGCAATAGCATTTACAGAGAAAACACTCCAGGTTCTATGAATTTACCATAATATTATTTGTGACTTCATAAAAATTTTAAAATTTGCAATAATTGAAACATGAGAACTTTAAAAAATTATTTTTTCTGTTCTTGGCCAAGAAACCCTTACATGTTAAAAGTAACATTTCATAAGCTATTATTTCATTTCAAACTACACACTTAAAAAAAACTTGATTAGAAATTAAAGGTATAGTTTTTTCTTAACACTCTTAATGACCATTTAAAAGTCTCTATTTAATAAATACATATGATTGACTTCTCATTCAGAGCTTTCCTGAAAGAAATGTTCATACAGGTCAAGGTATGAAAAAAAACTTACAAGCATATTCATGTACAAATAGAGGGTTTAGGCAGCATTATTGCACTCAATTGTATCACCAAACAAAAGCTTTACCATATATATCTGTGTACCAAAGTACCTAACCATGTTTTGCTCATTTCATAGACTAGAATTATTGAAGCTGCTGAAGATCGGGATTCATTGTCATGGAAGTTCCTTTGATTGTTAAGAGGAAAACATCCATGATCTTCATCAAACCAGCATTTTAATGAGTCAGGTGTTGGTATGTCATCTTTTAGTAGAATGAATGCTTCTCATAAATTTCTATTTTCTAAATGCCACCTCCTCCGCCACATTGAGATGTATCTGCCGTTTTTCAAAGTTTTAGAAACACTTGTTGAAAAAAACTACTAAACAATTCACTATAGCAAAGTGAAATTTTAATTATCCCAGTGAAATATCATATGAAAAACTTTTGAGAATGTTAATTTTATAACTTTCAAAATTAATCCAAATGATTTATTTTAGCGAGGTCCTGCTTTTGCATTGGGTAAAGAAGCTTTGTTAGATAAAGTTCCAAGGGAACTGAAAACGCTAACCTCTTCAAAATCCACCTTTCCTGTATGACTGCATATATCCTTAGAAGAAAACAGTAGCCACTTTTCCTTCAAAACAAGTCACTCAGATTAGCCTAACATCGAAGGACTTGGAGGCATAGACCCCCCTCCCCAGATCCCAGAGGACGAGGTTTTCCACCCAGGTTTGTCGCCACTCAGGGACAACCTATACATGTTCTTGCTCTGCAGACTTAGGGTTGCCCGCATGTCTAACAACCCCGAAGAAGTAAAATTTGGGAGAAGTTATCACTTTTCAAAGTTGGGGGGGGGGGGGGAAGGCTGGATAAATGAGAGCCATAGTGTTCTGTCCTCTGAAATACCTACGTAGTTTTGACAAAAGAAATAAATAGAAGCAAAACCGAGATTCAAAAGAACTCTGCTGTGCGCACCGGTCGAGCTTCTCAAAGACCCCCCTCATGAAAAGAAACGGGCTGCAGGCTCACCTTCCATGTCGCCGCCGGCCTGGGCTGGAGCTGCCGCGCTGCCTGCCCTGCCGCTCCACGTGCTCCTGCCGTCGCCGGTCCCAGCGCCCAGCTGGCGGGAGATTCCCGGCGCGGGGACTCCCCGGGATCCGGCCGCGTCGGCGCAGACTGCAAGGGGCAGGAGCAGCGACCTGCGGGTGCGCGGGGTTACAGCGGCGCTGGCTGGCGGCTGCTCTGAAGGACGCTCGCTGCGGATCGCCGCAGGTTCCGCGCCTTCAGCCCCCTTTTGAATGTCAAACCCGAGGAACCCCGATAAGGTGGAAATGGCGCATCAGGAAATTGTCTCAGAATGTCTGTTTTAAAAGGATGATGGATGTGAGAGAAGAAAGTATCACGGAGATGGGAGTGGCAAGGGAAAGGTGGCAGCAAAGTTAAAAGAGGTCTTAATTTAAGCAAGACCTGGAAGTTTCTGGCAGGATTCTGGAATGATGACCATGGAAATCATCAACGAGCACACATCAGTAAGAACTCACTTCATTTGAAATAGCGTTTGTGCGCCTTTTTTTTTTTTTTTTTTTTTTTTTTTGGCTCTTTGATTTCAATGGGTAAAAAGATCTTGGTCATATTTTTCAAGACTTTTGGCACTTTCATCCACTCAAACTTTTACTTTTTGGAAACAATCTCATGTGTTTTTCCCTTCTGGAACTGTCTAGTTTACTTGCCATTACTCACAAAATGCTACTCTGGGTTTCTTTTTCTTCTATTCTGCCTTTTTTTCCCAAGCAGGACATCTTAAAACAATGCATAAGCTGATATAGTACTTAAGAGCAAGTCAGTCAGCAGAGTCAAGAGGGCAGGGGTAGTCAGAAGAAAACTAACATACATACAACATGTATGTACAAGGAGGAGACCAGTTGATGTCTTTATCCAACACCCTCTCCAGTGTATAGAGGGAACACACACATTTAATTGCAAGGAAAGGGCAGTGTGACAACCAAACAATTTTTCAAAGCAGAATTTCTTCTTTCCACGGAGATCTGAGAGAGGCCTCAAGATACCCCATGTGTTGAGGGGGTCACTGTATCAATGATGACACTGTTACTTTGGTTGGAAAGTTACAGCTTCATAGAAACTTACATAAACAATATAAAATTACATCATTAAGTGTACACAAATATATTTCAGAATGAAGATTGAGAGTTTGTGCATCAGCTGACCACATCACAAGGAACCATGCTTACAGGTTAAAGAATGCATGCTGTGATTGCGTGAATTTATGTTAGCCAGTGCCTTGGCACAGCCAGTCTGTGTAATATACTAGCATCTGCCGCAGGTAGTTTTGACTGAGTGCCTAACTTGCACTGGCTTTGTTTTTAAGATCACAGAACCAAAACAGCATCTCTATACCAGTGTGAGTTGGGAGTCCCACAGGATAGTATCAATTTCAGAGAAATACTCTAAATACTAGGTCTAATTTTGGTACTGAAAGGGGAAATTTGTTGTTTGTTAGTTTCTGAAAGCAAAAATAGCACATCAAATGAAGCAGAAGAGGAACTGTAAACTTTCACAGGGATGGTGTGAGGATTAATAGCAATTTGATTATTAAAAAGCTATTAAAACCTTTATTATCTTCTACAATTTTTATTTTCATATTTACTCTGCCTACAATTCTATGACATCTCAGGCTCCATAGAGTAATGCATATGGGAACAGACGAAAAAGCAAAAGAGTGAAACAAAAGCAACTAACTCAACTATTCTGTCTTCAAAAAGGAGGCGCTTAAAACCCCTACCTTGTGGGCTGCACACAGTAACTTTCTTTCAAAGAGCACAACTCTTTCAAAGAAGGGGTGGGGGACACTTTATAGTGGACAGACCCACTACGTGATGTGATGAAAATGTCATTTTATCTCTGTGGTCTTTCTCCCCCAAACCCACAACCCTAGTCTAATAATGAGAAAAACATCAAATTCCATTAGAGGCATTCTACAAAACACTTGACCACATGAGACCAGGCCAAAGTTCCCACAAACAAGAAAAGTCTAAGTAGTTGTCAAAATCAAGAACATTCTAAGGAGGTATGGCGACTAAATATAATAAGGCAATCTTGCTGAGACCCTGGCGCAGAAAACAGACAATAGCTAAAAGCTAATGAAATCTGATTAAAGCATAGAAATTAAAATAGTAATGCATCAGTGTTTGTGAAAAATGTAATGTTGGACCTGGTGCTATGGCTCAGTGGCTAAATCCTCCAAGCAAGCACCAGAACCCCATGTGGGCATCGGTTCCTGTCCCAGCGGTCCCACTTCCCATCCAGCTCCCTGCTTGTGCCCTGGGAAAGCAGTAGAGGATAGCCCAAAGCCTTGGGACCCTGCATCCGCATGGGAGACCCAGAAGAGGCCCCTGGTTCCTGACCAGCTCAGCTCCTGCCATTGTGGCCACTTGGGGAGTGAACCAGCAGACAGAATATCTTTCTGTCTCTCCTCTCTGTTAATCTGACTTTTCAAATAAAAAGTCAAATAAATCTTTTTTAAAATGTCATTTAGAGGAAAAAGTCATAAGAGTCTATATGAACTGACATTGTTCTGTAAATCTGAAACTTAAACTCAAAGATTTATTTTAAAACAATGGATACATATTTTCAAGATATCACTATTTAGTCATTTGGTTAATTCTTGAAGGATTCAGTTTATCACCAAAGACTTACCAGAATCAAGTATGTAACAATTCCTGGGAAGCCCAAAAACACGTTGTAGACTTAAAAAAAATGTACTCTGACTAAAACTGGAATGACATGCTTCTAGGGAATTGAAGATAATGCCTAAATTTGCCTTCATTATCATCACCTCAAGAAGGGAACCAGTTAAGGCTAAACCAAGAATCTAGGCATGGCAACTGCCAATGGGTGGATCTGAGTCACTGAGTCGCACTTTATGGTTTATGCTACATAGGCAAAATTAACAGTGACTCAAAATGAAATTACTGACAAAGGTTGCTCCTGGACCATGTGAGATTGTCCAAGTACTGACGAGGCTCAAAGGAAATTAAAACCGAAAACTCTAGATCTCACCCTAAATAACCATTCTACACCCTGTCTGAACCTTGGGCTTTGTCTCCCAACCTACTCAAAACCACTACTGAACTGCGGGTGCTGTCCCGCTGCGAAGAACTAGACAACACACGGGCTGCCCTGTGCGCTGCAGGCTACCCAACCAGTAGCCAACACAGCAACATGCCCCTCCCTCTTGGAGCTTGCCTGATCAGCCATCCCATGGGAAAAGCCATCTTGGGCTCTTGTCTTTCGGTGGAATTTTCTAAGGCAAGGTTACTTCACAGCCCCAGATCAATTTGTGGTGAAATTGATAAAAACTCTAATTCAGGGGCCAGTGCTGTGGCTCAACAGAATAATCCTCCACCCTGGGTGCCAGCACCCTATATGGATACCAATTTATGTTCTGGCTACTCCATTTCTGATCCAATTTCCTGCTAAAGCAGTGAGGGATGCTGGGAAGCAGTGCCTGGGAAAGCAGTGAGGGATGACCCAAGTTCTTGGGCCCCTATACACCCATATGAGCGACCAGGAAAAGGCTCCCGGTTTCAGATCAGCTCAGCCCTGGCCATAGCGGTTATTCTCTATATCTCCTCTGTGTAAAATTACACTTCAAGGAAAAAAATAATAATAATAAAGAAAAAAAGATAATCCAAAATTCTTTTAGGGGCTAAGGAAACCTGAAGGTGCTACTAGAGGTTCGTCAGGGGTTCGGTTTTAAGAAAAGATTAATCCAATTAGGTTTTAAAAAATTAGTTTTGAGTGTTTCCAGTTACAAGGCGTTTAGACACATGGTTTCTGAGTTCACGCCAAGCAAGGCTTAAACAAGTCTCTCCCGGGGTGCTCCACTTCGCGTGAGAAATTCCTCCCTCCTAGCCTCACCTCGCTCCGCAGCCGCCCACCCTAATTGCGGTCCTTGTGTCTCCTCATCAGCCAACTGAGCCCCTGGCCTAAGCAAAGCTCGGCATGCCAAGCCCTGGCTTCCTGTCCTTGCCGCCTTGCTTCCCACCGAAGGTGCCCAGGAGACGACGAAGCCGCCAGCAACGAGGGCAAATGGCGCCCGGCGCGAGGCGCGAAGCATGCGCACGGCTCACGGCGATGGCCGCGCATGCGCGCGGATTCGGGGCACGCCTGCGTTCTCCCGGGGTAGCAACGGACCGGTAGGGGCGGCGATCCGGTAGTTTCTGAACCGTGATGCGAGCGTCGTGGGTCCTTGTCTCCGCGGTGCTGTGGTACCTCACAAGAGGTGCGGCTCCTCTCGCGTGGTCCCAGGCTTCTCCCCTCTGCTCGGGGATTTCCTTTCCAGCCTCCTCCTCCTCCTTCTTCCCTTTCTTCTCCTCTTCCTCCCCTCCTGGCCCCTCTGGTGACTTTAAAAACTCGGTGGTTTCTCTCCTCCCGCAGATGGATGGCCGCGTTCTTCCTTACTCAGTAAGAAAGGCTTCATTTATGGCAAGATAGGACAGCCAGGTAATGAGATCCTCTTCCCACGCAGGACGTTGCCGGCAGAGCTGGGATGTCATGGACTGGCTAAGGTTTCTGAATGCCTGCTGTGTGCTTGGCCACCGACCAAAGGTTGCATGCAAAGGTTACCCTGCAGAGCCACCCTAGGCCTAGTCGAATCGCCTCGCCTCCTGCCACCCAGTGGGATACAAGCTGGGTCTCTCCTTCCCGTGTCCCCTCCCTTGCAGGTGGCTCTGTGGCTTTGCAAGGGAGGCTGCCCACGCTGAGGCCCCTTGTTTAGGAGGCCTCCGTCCCTGAGCGTTTGGGGCTCAGTCCACTCCCCCCAAGAAAGCAGGTCATGTGCTTAAAACACGCGTCACCTTGGATAGCTTCCAGCCACTTTACAGCCTTAGTCATGTTTGAGAGCCCGCCATGTTTGCGACCCTGTCCCCACCAAATTGTACGCTTGGTGCTCAGAACTCTTTCAGATGGGTGACTTATCGGACCAAGTTTGGCTCCAAGTCTCCAGGCGCAGCTGCCACCGAATCTGAAAGAACAGGTCGTTGCAGCCCTGTCTCCTAGGCCACTCCGTGTAGATAGGCTTCATGCAGAGGAAGTCTACAGTTAAAACACTAAATTCCTTTGCGATGAGCATCGACAGCTTGGAAATACTGGCGCTTCACCACCACACTTAAGTCCTTTTCTAAACT